TTCCATTTTATTTTGGACCCATTTTGAGCCACACCCACCTTTTGGAGTCCTGGGGCATACAAAAAGCGCCTTGGGGTTCTCCCTGGCCACTTTGTCCCGCTGCATCTGCCGCCAATCGAACTGGCACCTGAGAAGAGAACCAAACAAGTGGCCGGACAGGTCGGCCAGTGTTCCAATACAAGAAGAGCAGTGGAAGAAAACCTGTTCTTAGGAGAAAACCCTAAAGCAAAAAGATTGGGCTCCAACTCATGCCGCGTGCCCCAGCCAAGTCCGTCCTTGCACAATGAAGGGCGGTGGCGCAACTCCGTTGTCAAGAGGGGATCGTGGAACGAAAATGAATGGAGCTGCATATCTGAGTGTGACCACAAATCACTCCTCCCAACTCCCTCCCAAACGCATTTCCCACGCGCTGGCGAGGTACAGCCGAAGAACAATCCAACCAAAAGGAACCAAGATTCCTTGAACATTTCTGCCATCGTTCACCCAACCCGTGGGAGCCCCCCCCTCCCCACCCTGAACCCGAATCGATGCGCGCTTCCCATGGCGCGAGTCCCCGGCTCGTGGCTCTCCGCGGCGCGGTGGCGCTCACAGAAGGCGAGGCCGCAGCGGCATCTGGCGGAGAAAGCCGCGATTGAAGGTCCAACGAAGGGATCAGAAAGGGGCATTCGGCCTCTCAGTAAAAGAACTGCAATAGCTCAGCAGGGAAGGCGATCTCAAGGAACCTCCCTTTGCACACACTGGCCAAAGCCTCACTTTGCCTGCATCGTCACTTAACCTTCTCAACCCTTCCACTGGGTGATCCCATCCAACACCTAAGGACCTCGCCAAAAGTCACTCAATTGACACTTCAATTCCTTCCCACAGCTTCCATGGGCATGGCAGATGCAAAAGCCTCTCCGAAGGGCCGCTTTTGGTCTACTCTGCACGGCCCATGCGCTGCAGCTCCTGGTCCCTCCGAGCTTGGACCAATGTCGTCACCAGGACCTCTGCCTTCATGAACTCCAACCTCTCCTCCAACGCGCCCAGCGGGGAGGCTGCAAGCCGTCCGGATGGATGCTTTCAGGAAGTCTGAGGGGGCAAAAGGCACACAAAACGCGGAGAATGGAAGAAGGGAACGGGTCCCGGGTCGCCTGCCAGGAAACGGCGACAGGAGTCACTGTGTTTGATCAGGAGAAAGGCTGTGCATCTGCTCAATCACTTCCCATGTGCCGCAATGGCTGTGGAACAACAGCACGTGACGGTGGCCGGCGCCCGATATTTAGTGCCCGTCCTTCTCGTCGAGACGCTCGAAATACCGCCGCCGCCCTTCTTCGGGAAGCTTGTGGAAAACGTTGACCTGCTTGCAGGCCGGGGTGGGCATCTCTTGAATCTTGGAAGCCAAGCAACCATGGCTATGACATGACGCACTCGTGGGAAGAACCTCTGAAGGAGTTGGCTGGGACTGTTGTGCCCGGCGAGGCCTTGTCCACGCTGTTTGCGAGCAGAGCGGTGCGCTCTTCCTGGGACATACTGTCCAGCTCTAACTTGGCCCTGTACTCGAGCAGCTTCATCATCCTGAACCCGGTTCCATGGTTACCAAGGTCCGCAGCGAACAGTCGGTTGGCCACCACTTACCCCCGATGTGGCTGGGCAACAGAGCTAGGTTTCCTTGGGGCCACCGTCAACTAGGAGACTGACTTGAAACTAACTCTTTGGAGACACCCCTGGCTGTGACATACCGCAAGCGCTCGACCCCCGGTTTTCGTGATTACCCTTTAACCCCCTAAAAAGCAGGGCAAGCATTGAAACACGGCATCCCGAGTTTCCGTTAGACACCTCGGAAAGCAAGGGAACCATCGGCGCGAAAGCGGAAAACACACCCTTCAGGCGGCTTGTGCCTGAAAAGTCCAAACAACCCCAACCCCATCTGACGGATGGGGGGCGCGGGGAATGGGGGGGGGGGAGACCCCAGCAGCAAAAGGATCTGAAAGTCTTGCCAGGACTCACTGGCTGGTCAATGTTGAGGTGCCCTCCAGCCAGCCAGTGCTCATGCAGCTGCTTGTACATCGCTTCACCTATGGACTTTCCAGACATCCGTAGACCCAGGGGCAAGTCTGTGGTTCAACGAGCGGATTTCCTCTTGCTTGAGCCATAAGACCCTTCCCCTTCGGGGACTCACCTGCTAAGCTTTCGGAACCCCTTTTAAGGTCAAAAGCCCAGCTACGTGGACGAATCGGGGTCAAAATGAGATCAAAAGTCACCTAACTGCTGACTCAGCGACTGGCTTTGCCGCGCCACCTGGCGTACAGCATCGCCACCTCCCGATCATCCGCGAACTCCTCAGCGCGTGCGACACGTAGCGACGCCGAACAAGCAGATTCGGCCAACGAAAGGGTCTTAAACTGCGGGTAGCCTTGCAGGGCTGACAGTGGATTCGACTGAAAAGGAGGGCGCGTTTCTCTTCTTGAGCGTGAAGCATTTTGGAGGGCACCCCGACTTTCTTAATTGTCGCAATCACGGAAGCATTTCAAGAGGATGGCAGTCTATTGAAAAAAAGGGTTGCCATGTGGGGCATGAAGGCACCCCCCCCATCTGTTGAGTTCTTTCCTTCTGGCTTTCCGTAGGCAACCTAAAATTAGGCATCCTCCAAAACCACCCGCCCCAAGCGACCAGTTCACTGGGTCCGCGCCCTGTCCCGCGCCCCGTCGCCTGCGACTGTCCGAACTCCCCCAGGCACTTCCTGCCATACCTGCCAGGCTCCGCGCCAACCCGCGCCAACCGCCCTCTCCAAGGTCCAAGTGCCCGAAGGGAGGGATGTGCTCAACCCCCCGCCCCCCCCGACCAAAAAGAAAAGCCCCCCAAAAAAAAGAAGAAGCTCGAAGTGTACCAAGGGGCCCTCTGATCTCTTGCAAAAGCCTCCTCTTAGGCCAGCGGCTCCCGCTCGAAGCCCACCAGTTCCATCACCTCTGCGTGGACCTCATCCACCACCTCGAGGCTTCCAAGCTGGCGGAGGGGGGGCCGCCCGTTTTCCCCACTCCGCCGGCTCCGCGCTCGATGGGCCGGGGAGAAAAAACCAGGGTCCCCGGTCTGGAACCGGTCCTGACCGCCACTGTGCCTTTTGGCTTATGAGCAAAAACCACCAACAATTGGGAGTTGAAGAAAAAGGGCCTGAGGCAACTTCCAGGCCCCAGAAATGGCATCCGAAAACGAAATCCCCTTTGCATCACGAGGCGACCATTGAGCTAGGTTCCTTCCCAATTGACGTGGCAGACTCAAAACCAAACATGAATGCAACATGCCCACTACACATCCCAATGCCCACCAGAGATCCTCCCAATGCAGAAGGGCCAAGCCGCATTCTGTGGCAGCTCCCCCGAGTCTTCGATCTTGCGGCGGAGCTTCTCCTTGACCTTCGCGGCTGTACTAAGATGGTGGGTTTGCCTCAAACCCCGGGGGGGGGGGGGGACCAAACAGGCGTTTCCCTCCAAACCAACCCAGCAAAAGGGCACTTTCGACAATTGAACTGTAAAGATTTATACCGGCCTCGCTATATCGCTTGGTAGAACCGGGTGGTCGAATCACCAACTCAAAGTGCCGTCTGGGCACAAGTCAACTAGATGTCCCCAAAGGCGGTTGCTTTCCTTCTGGCTCCACATGTTCAAACCCTTTTCCACCACTCACCATTTTCAGACCCGCTGAAACGTTGCCCCACCAAAAGGACGCTCAAGGTAAACTGGATGTTCCAAGAGGTGTCGTTCGAATCGAAACTACCTGCGGAAAAAAATATTCGTAGGGCATCTCATCGCCGGCACCTCAGGCAGCTCTATCTTGATGTTGCACGCCTCCAGAAACTCCAAGACCGTGTTCCTTGGAGCACGCGAGTATGGAGCGAGTCAGAAGTTTCTTAACTAGAGTCGCAAACGTTAGTTTCCTAGGTGGAAACCCTTTGTGTGAAACTCAGTGGCAGGGCGCCGGCCGCCCCAGGGCTGGGAAACAAACTAACTCAGACAAAGAAAGTTTGTTTTCTCAAGGAAAAACAAAGGTTTACCTGGCGGAGAAAAAAATGTTAGTCGAGGGGCTCGAAAATAAAGGTTCTGGAGCCGACAAAGTTAGTCTTTTCAGGTGGAAACTAACCTTTCTGGCCTCGGGGGAAGGGGGCGCCCAGAAACAAACTTTTTGAAAGGTTAGTTTCAGCGATGGGAAACAAATGTTTCCAGGGACGGACATCACACTTTGTTAGTTTCTTGGGTACGTGCAGCCAGACATCTCCAGCATCACAACTGACACCCCTGGCATCACCAGCAATACCACCAAGTCGCTTGGCAGTTGTTAAGCTCAACTTCACAAAGTTGCGTGTAATGCGCCGCGTTATTTTTCCATTGGCGCCCTTTTTGCGACAGAGACTGCGCCCCGATCGACACCCCACCCAGAGACCGTCTCAATAAGCGGGGTGGATCACGGTTCGCAACTCAACCAATAACCCCCCCCCCCCCCACCCAAGAAGAACAATTGGGCGGCGGGACTTGTTGTGTGGGGAGGCAGAGGTAATTGTTGGAACAATAGTCGGCGGGGGGTGGATTTGTTCTTGAGGGGGAGGGGGTTGGGGGTGGGGAGTGCGGATTGCTGTTTGGAAGGGAGGGTGCTGCTTTCTTGTTAGTAACGCGTGCTTTCTCTACTACCCGCTGCCCCAAAAATGCACTGGTCCTACAAAAAACCGTTCGGGTTTGCGGAGCAAACCGAACCTTGTGTTGCTACGCACGTTTACGTTCTTTTTGCGTCATGTCATGGGCCGTGCCTAGGGTTAGGTGTTGGAAATACCACTCGTAAAGCCTTAAAAAAACGTTCAAAGCCCGTTCGCAAACTGTTCGCAGTACAATTTACGTAAAACTAAACATGGTTGCTGCGAAATCACCTTGTTGTTCTAAAAGCCGTTCTGGTGCTGAAAAACTGATCTGGTGCGCAAATTTCAATTGAAACCTCATTTCTCCAAGTGGTGCTGAAAAAAGGTGGCTTTTCTAGTTCTAGTGGGGGGGGCTGCGCCCCCCCCCCCCCAACCCCCCCGCTTCTTGATCCGGCTGTTGTTCGGCTTTGTGACCGGTGCTTGTAACCGCGCGCTTTCTCCAGCACCCATCCAGCCAGCTCTCGTATCGATCCACCTCCGCTCCGCCTTTGGCTCAGCTCCGGCTCCGGCCCGGCGACGCTCCGGTTCTCATCTGCTCAGCTCCGCTCCAGCTCAGCTCCGGCACTCATCTGCACACCGGCTGCATCAAAAGTGCAGACAGAAACGCATGCCACATGCACAGGAAAGACGAAGAAAGGCTAACAATTTCATAGGATTGTTAGCGTGGGCAATGCATACAACATTCACAAACACCGCATATCGGACACATACGGAGCCAGTGGCCGTGGCTGCGGAGGAGCTGTAAAGGTGGCGAAGCCAGTCGCTGTGGCAGAGCCACAGACGCGCCAGTGGCCGTCTCTAAAACACATGTTTCAGAAACAAACGTTTGCCTGGACCAAAACACAGGTTTAGAAACAAACGTTCGGCGGACACAGCAAACATCCCTCCGAAACTTGAGTCTGCGTGCAATGAAACAAACTCACAGCCCGAGTTCACGAACAGCCCTGAAACAATAGTTTGTCCGGAAATATGTTTGGTATGCGAAACTAACCTTCTACCCGTGAGTTTCCCTTCAGAGTTTCCCAGAAAACAAACAAACTAAACTCTGCGATGAAACGTTTGTTTTCCAAGTTTTCAAAGTAGCCATTCTAGGGGTTCCAAGAAGTTTCTCATGGCAAAACAAACGTTCACAGGAAGAATGTGGCTTTGAGACAGAAACAAACCTTTCACACGGAAAACGCTTGTTCCTCTATTGGAAATCAACGTTTCCGCACATGCGACAGAAGACTATAAGCATGAGTTCGGAAGAAACGTTCCGTAGACGGCCATAAGTTTGTTTGTCCTGGCAAAACAATCGTTTGGCCAAGCCAATAGTTAGTTTTCTCAAAACTAATTAACTAGTGACTTGCTCCCATGTGCAGCACGCACCCTGGCAAGGCAGATTATACCCAGAATCCTGAAGCCGGAAAACTCATCGCAACACCATCCTTTCGCTCGGGATCTTTGAGGTTTGTTTTTACATGCGGAATGAGGAGGACCTGCACCATGAATCGTACTTCCCCATCCAAGGTGTCCGTCACGTTTTGCAGGGAAAGCTCCGCTACTTGTGCAAGGTTTTTTTTTTTAATTGGGGGGGACAACTCGTTTTGGAAGGAAAGCTTCCTTTTTGGAGATCTGCAGAGTGCATTCCTCCGAGATGGAAGCTTTTCCTTTTGGCAGCCACCCTCTTGCAGCACTTCCCTGCTGGCGCCCCCCCCACCGGTGTCAAGGCTCCGGGACATCTTGCCCTTCTTGGGCTCCTTGGGCCGGCGGTCCTCCAGACACTGCCTCAGCGCCCACAGAAATTTGGCCGGCCCAAAATGGGTGGCCCGATCGGTCAGTGGAAACATGGACCAAGACCTGCGGTTTGTCCCTGCTGTCTTAATTTCGAGCCACACCCAAATGCCTCCCAGCGAGTGGCTCCAACCTGCTGAACCTTTAGCCCAAGGAGCAGCCCAACAGCCCCGGAATCACCCCGAACCGTCGGTTTTGCAAAAGATGCAGCCCAAAAAAAAAAGGACCTCTACCTTCCAAAGCACCCTGGGTGGTTTCACGATTCGCCACTGAAACCCAAGGAGCCTCCAGACAACAACAAACCAAAGCCAACGGGAACCGGATGCCAAGTAGAACCGGTGCCAAAAAAAGCGCCGCTCAGCTGCATGTACGCAGAGTCCAGCGCCACCATCATGGCCTTCTTCAAGTCCAGGAGCTCCCCATCCGTCTCAAGTCGTTTGGGGGTCAGGGGGTCACAGCGGCGCGTCCTGCGTCCACGTCTTTTTAAATAGATATCGTCCGTCCTGAGAATGGAGTCGCAAGAAAATGAAGCGATTCGTGGGTGAGCGGAGCAGAAACGGGGGCCAATCCCCAGCTCCAAGGCGGACCCCAGACATCGGTGGCTTCCCCTGGCGCCATTCTTTTGCCACTATCAAAGTCACCCAAGTGGTGATTCAAAGGGACACCTCCCCAGTTTCTGACTTCCACAACCCCTAATAGTCGACATAATGACCCCAGTTCCCAAGACAAAGAGGGTGAGGGGCATGACACCAGATTGCAGTACTAGAAAAATACTCAAACGTTCGGGCTCCCCTGGTCAGCTATCTTGGATTCGTGTGCTTGTCCTTGCCGGCATGCTTGTTTTCGCTTGGGCTTTATCATGAAGTGCGGCTTCAACAGACTGAAGGCGACGGTTGAGTTCACTGTTAGAGTGTGTACGACTACATTTTGTCTTTCAGGTGCCTCCAAGTCTCTCAACGCAAGCAGTGCCACCAGCCGAAAATCAAAGGCACCCTTCCGGCTCTGAAAATTAGGCGCTGCCCAAACAAATCCAGGCTTCCCCAAGCATCAAACCAATATTTCCCATTTTGGGGCTACCTCCACTCACCCGCCCACGCCCACTTATGCCACCACAAGCCCAGCTGCCAGCTGCTGCACCGCTTGGAAGCCCTTCCCCGCGTCCAGGCCCAGGTCGGTGAAGAGCTGGCGCTGCAGCTCTGAGAGGAACTTCCCGGGCCTCGAAAAACTTGGTCGAGGCCAGCGAAGTTGGCAGCGAACGAGACACGGAATGACCCCCAGGGAAAAAAACAAAAAAAACATCCAACTGGTGGTGTCCCTTCAGGGAATCCCCAGGTTCATTCCCACATTCCATTCGCTAGAAATCTGTTCTTCACCCCGACTTTGAAGTGCGCAAACCCCTTTTGAACGACTGTCCCTTTCCAAAACGGATGCAGAAAGCATCCCCGGTGGTTTTCTTTCAAAAATTCGGGCTCACTCCCACATTCCCTATCGAGACTTTGGATGCGCTACTTCTTCGCATTGTCTCAAAATACTGTGGACAAAATCCATTTCGCACCACAAAATGAAACCCAGGCGAATCATCATCCAGGGTTTATTCGGTGGTGCAGAATTTCGTCCATCCGCAGTAGGACCCCCAAACTGAGTTTTCCTTTGAGCTCCTGTCAAATCAACTCCAAAATGGGTACCCTCGCACAAAGAGACGCGCCCAGACATTCACATATGGATATTGAATGTTGTCATGTGCGTGTTCGAGAATAAACGAGTTGAGTTGGGTGAACCGGGCCCCACGTCGCCTCCCCGAGTTGCGGAGCCGCACCCTGGTGCCCTCGCTGGAGACCGAGGCAGCGCAACGCATCAGGAACCTCGACGCCACGTGTCTGGGCGGACCGGGGCCCCCAACACGGGGCTTGGAGAAGACCAAGGTGCGGGGGGGGTGGGGGCAATTCTATGAGCTTGCGCCCAGCTTCTCACAAAAAGCCGTTTATTGTTTATTTTTTCGTTTTTTTTTGGGGGGATGACAGGGAAACCCATGTCCGCATAAACCAGCCAAACTGACACTGTTCATCTGGGAATGTGATAAACCTGGTCTGAAACTGAAAAGCGTCCTGGCCAAGAAGGCGCCAAAGACCCGTATGCTGAGGAATCGGACTCATCACATGAAGGCAAGATCGATTTCTCCCACTGGGCCGAGGAGGAACGTGCTTCCCTTGCACCCATGCACAAGCACCTTGAGCCTACTATGCCGCTGTGAACTTGTGAGCTTTCAGCGAACCAGAAAAGCCATGCTCTGCAAGCAGCGGGCATCCGAGTCAAAGCTTGGAAAAATGCCGCCGCTTACCCCACGAATGCCACAGAATTTCATGAATCCAGCAATCGTCTTGGTCCCTTCCTGATCCCAAAAGAGTTCAGAGTCCGCGGCGATCTTCAAACGTCACGATCAGCCCTTTTGGGTGGCTGACATGTGCGCAGTGCTGCGTGGGTTCAGCTCATCGGGTATCCTTATTCTTGGCCCTCGTGAGATCCACTATGGTACACCTTTCCAGGGGATTGAACCAGTAGAGTACAAGGAATCTGCAAGAAGCAACATCTACATGCAGGCCAGCAGCTCTTTGATCTGCGCCGGGTCCACATCGTCGCTCATTGAGGCGCTTGAAAGGAAATTGTGTGGGCAGCGCGGGGCCTGATGCTGATTTCCCAACCACGCACACCTGAAATACCATAGCTGGGCTTGGTCGGCGCGTTAACTTGCTTCCTGGAAAGCGGCTAGCTATGGCAAGAGCAGTGCCAACATCGGAAACTGGAACGTGGGCTGCGTCGCTATGGCCAAAGACTCGCCCTAGAATCGGAGCCCAGCTGCGGAGAGGTTGAGAAACGTCACCGGACGGCAGGGTTCATTTGCCCGTCACCCTGGAAAGACGTGAGCTCGGGTGTCTGGGCCTTGGATTTCGCTTTTTCTAAGTCCGGCTAACTCCTTTCTTTCTTCTATCCTAGATCTACCGTCCCCCTTCTTTCAGGGACCGGAAATCCAGGGAAAACGGCCTGTTTTTGGAAAGAACGATGGTTAAAAAGAATGGGGAATCAAACCCTACAGCTATTTGGCCGTGGTTTCTGGTAGGGTCACAAAGCTAGGTTGGCCCGTGTGGGCTTCACGCGCCCGGACCCGCCTGATGGTGGACTCCACCAGAGAGATGCGACGGCGGCAGTGGCCGCACCTGCCATCACCAACCTTTCAAGGTTTGAGTTGCGTCCCCAGTTTTCCTCAGTCCAGTGGAAAAGCAGTGGGTCCTGGAGGAATATGGGGCTGGGCCACGACTTCCAGTTGACCCGCCCCAAAAAACGGCAACTTACGATTGAGGCGGCGGCTGCCTATCCTCCGGGACCTGCACATGGGCGGCGTCAGCCAGACGATGGATGCAGGAGCTCAACATGGGTGGATTCCCCCTGTCCCCCTTGCAAACAGAAGACTCTCCTAACTGGGGTTGACGCAAGCACATGTCCTTGCAGTCCCAAAGCGGCAAGCTAAACCTCCTGAGAAAGACCGCCCTGCACAACGTAGAATGCGAACTCTTGCAGAGGTACACTCAGAGCCAGCCCTGGGATTCCTGCGCCACGGACCGGGCTCCTTGAGCTTGCCATGGCCGACCCCGCGCTCGCTGAGTCTGGTGTTGTTTGGATGGGCGTCTTTGGTTCGAGGGGACCCGTGGAGTTGCCTCGGGGGGCCAAACTGGCTTCAGCTCCGTCTCTCCGCTTGCGGTGTGCGGTGGCTCTAAGCTATGGCTGCGCAGGGGAGCCGCTCCGGAGCAATCCACACCATGCAGCGGCTTGGCGTGGTCCCCTTTTGGCTTAGGGGGACTCCTGGGACAAGTTCCAAAGAAAAAAGAGGGACGGAAACATTAAGAATTCAACAGTTTTTCACGCCCAAAATGCCAAACACTAAACCACTGACCGAAAAGTTCCAAAAACGACATTGTGCAACCAGTATCTTCTGCAACTGTTGTGAGCTGCCACCATCTATGTCAGCCAAATGGGCTCTTCCAGCCATCAAGCCAACAAGCGCGCTTTTTAAAACGAAAAAGAATAACCGCTGCTTCTGAAATGGCCACTGGCTACGAGGTGCTCTCTTTGGCTTCACTTCTTCTCACGAAGCTGTGCTGACACATCCTCCGGCCGTTCGAGTGCCAAAACCCAACCCAAAACCCTGGTGGGAAGATTTACCCCAACCACCAGCCACCAAGGCCAAAACAGCGCTTCAAACTTGGAACTTTTGCGTGCCTTCACAGCATCCTCCATGGCTGCCAACTGCTCCGCACTGTTGGGATTGAACTTGTAAAGCCTCCGCTGGTATGGGGGCCCAGCTCTTCGATGTTCAACGGGAAACCGCTCCAAGTTGTCCCTTATTAACGTAAACTCCCAGTTGATTCATAGGAGGGTGTCCCTTACTGGGGTGCATCACCATCACGTTTCCCCCACCCCCGCTATGAATTGGAGGGGTTAGATGGTGTCAACACTAGCCTTTTCCCCGAGATCCATTTCAAGGACCTCTAAGGGATCGTCACTCGGCCAAGAAAATCTGAGCAGCTGTGTGTGAGCTTCTCTGGGGGCCAGGCGCGAAGAAGAGGTCGAAGCTGTCCCTGGTGGTGTTCTCCACCAGTGTCAGCAACCCCTCGAAGCCCTGCGAACGAATCGGAGGGCTTGAAACGGGCCACAAACGCTCTGTCCCTGCCTTGGTGTTGATGGGCGTGGGCCGCAGCGACAGGCGCTCCAGAATGCGGCCGGTGAAGTGCGTGACGAACTGACTGCCGGCGGCCGTCTCGTCGTGCAGCTCGCAGGTCATGTCCTCACAGGCATGGACGGCCAGGGTGGCATTGAAAAACTTAAGATTGCTTTTACATGAAATTCCAGCAAACAGATTCATGACCACCTGTAGGGCACCTGAACCAACAACAACTGCATCGTCGCAAAACTGGGGCGCCACGCCACCATACGACATCCTTGCCTCTCCCACCATTTCAGGAACTCTTCACATCTCCTTGCAAAATCGCAGCATGTCGAACCTACTCTGCTGTCGGAAAATGCTCAGTCCTTGCGTTGGTGAGCCTGACGCGCTCGAAAACGAATGGCAGGCCAGCCCAGCCATGCTTGCCACTTTGTGGGCCGAACATGGGGTGCGTGCAAAGAATGTCCTTAGCTCTGCCACCCTGCCACACCATCCCCCCGAGTACCTTTCATCTTGCTGGTGCGAGGGAATGAACCTGGCGATTCCCTTAAAGGAAGCCATAGGGGATGGTTTATAGGGCCTTATAGGGGTCATTCCCTCGTAAGCACCAGCAAGTCATAGCCTCACGGCAAAATGCGTCTTTCAAGTCTCGCATGTGTCCGGGAGCAACGACAGCAGGGTCGTTTTGGCATGAACCTGAGAGCATTCTCAATGACAGGAGGACACAGGCAGCCCTGGCCTTCACGGATAGCACGTCTACGATGAGCATGCGCTTTGACCTGATCTTTCTTTCTAAGTTTCAGGAGTGGGATGTGGCGTGCCACTTGAGGCGGGCACGCGTGGTCGGCGCCCCGGGCAGCCAGACTGTTGCAGAGTCTCCTCACCATACCCTCAAAACTGAGTATGCTGACCTAGGATTCGAGCAATGGCACCTGCCAAGAGCTAACGTGGTATGTGATGCAAGTCCATGGCATGCGGCCAAAAAGCCGAAATGATGAGCACATCCAGGTTCTGGTCCAAGAGCATGTCCAAGGAGTCGCACCAAGTCCTGATTTCAGGCAATCGCAAATGGTGGACGAGTGCCATCGAGGGCCGGGGCCCCGGCACATTGCAATGCGACGCCACCTGGGAGTAATTTTCGCGGCTCGTGGCGAAGACGTCATTCTCCGCCGCCAGCTTCTTTGCCTCAGATCTTTTCCATGCAATCCATGAGAGGCCCCCTGACAGCCATTCTAAACCACACAGCACCGTTTCCTGAACCGAGGCAGCACCATTTCCTGAACCAAGTCGAGGGGCAATGAACTGCCCAAAGGTCCCGAAGCCAATTACTCCGATGCGCTTCTTTGGCGGCGTGGATGCGGAGATTGGTACGGCCTGGACCGCGAAAACCCCCCACCCCCACATCGCCGTGAGCGCAAGCATTGGTTTTCCTTCAGCGCAAAGGATAGGGCTACAGGGGCCAAGCCCAATGCCCAAAAGAAAGCGCCCAAATGCCCAAAAGAAAGCGCTTGCGGGTGCTGGTCGTCTCGGCGACCTTCGACTTGCAAAACTTGTGGCGTATTTTCGAGGTGGGAAAAAGGTCAAGTTATGCCGAGCGAGCTGCCTCAACCACCTAGACCTAGCAAGACACTCGCCTTCTTGGGACAACCCATCCCGCCCGACGCAGTCAACCAGGTCGCCCGGCGATTCGGTCCGCCAGATGTTGCAGTCCAACCAGCGTGCCCCCTTTCGGGAAGGAGCCCAGCCTGCTTGAATCGATCCAAGTCAATCCCCACTAGCTTGGAAAAAACGAAACCCTAAAATGGGTGGCTTCCTGTCGGTAACGAGAGGTGCTTTTCCTGTACCGTATCCCTTCGAGCATCATCCCAAGCGGGTCCAAGGTTACTATGGCGCCTGTGGTAAAGTTCCAAAATGGAAAGAGCTCCATTTGAGGGTGGTTTGAAAGAGAAACTGCCTGGACTCATCGTTCCGGGGAACTCCTGGATAGGAAACACAAACACAAAAACATGTCAATGCATTTAAGGGCCTTGGGGACCCATTTCAGCCTTCTGCTTTCCAGAACCGTTTTGAGGCCCGCTCGTGCAAGAAACGCTTGCATGCGACCAAGGGTCACTCTAAAGAAGTTGGTCATCTCTTGCAGATGTCGCAAGGCATTGGCGACGTTCGGCGCATCCACCTTGAGACCATCAAAGGGTACTCAACCCCCGACCCAAGCAATCGCTTAGGGCCCCTGCAGATGCCAGAAAGTCAGCATAGAAGAGGTATCTAAAGCGATTGTCCTGGCAGAAACTGCAAAGCGACCAAGCCGCAATGGCAATCCGGGCAGGATCTGGGGAAAGTTGCCGCACGCACCAGCCCATCGCCTCACCCCTCGCTGAGGGCCTGGCATCTGTCAGCTTCATCTTCTTGGTCAGGCGGGAGGTGTCGGCGCCCGACATGCTCAAGTACATGCGCTCCAGCTTGGACATGATGTCCTCACGGAAATCTTGAGAACTCCCAGGAACGAAAAAAGACCACCGGCCCAAACCGAGCCAGCCATGTCAAGTTGGGTCGCCGCCAACTTGCTGGGATGTTGTTTTCAGAATGGCAAGGCAGCCGGGCCAGCCCGAGCTTTGGTACGCCATTCCATTTGGGGGGGGGGGGGGGGCGTGTGTGTGCAAGGCAGGGCCCTTTGCAAGCAGGCACCCACATGAAATCGCCGGTCCGTCTTGCAGGGCCGGCTTTCAATCTTCGACAGGTCGATTTCCCTCAGCGCAAAGACCGACAGCGCCTTGAACAGTGCACCTGCATCCAGCAGGTAACCCGAATGCAAACCATCCGCATGCAGCCCACTGACTTGCCACCAAGCATTTTGGTGATGACGCCGGATGGAAGGCAACTGGCCCACAGCAAGAACCCCCCATGCCTGCGCTGTTCTCCAAGGAGAAGACGATGGAGGTCTTGCAAGGGACACCTGGCGGTATAGTCACTGGATGTCCTCTCAGCAGAAGAAATCGCGTGAAGTTGTTCTGGTCATCCTCGATGCCTGGGATCGGCAACGGCCAGCCAGCGGCTGGCAGAGGCACGTGGCAAATCGGCAAATGGGCAAGTGGCCAACGTTCCCAACCGTCAGCACGCTAAACGCGGGAACCCAATCCCCTCGCCTGATGCTCCCGTGTTCAGGAGTCAAAACCATCTGACCCCAGACTTTTTACCACTCAAGCCACGCCCCCAAGTGAAGTGGGTTCAAGGAAAACCACCCACCTTCTGACTTTGGTACCCCCTGGAAGTCGTAACATCATGTTTCTCTGCGCTGAGCCAAGTCCCCACCCCCACCCCCACCCCCCTTCTCTGGAACCTCCGAACCTGTGACTTTGGCCCAGCAGCCCTTCTCCAGGACATCGAGGCCAAAGAACTCCGCCGCCAGCTCGCTGCAGATGGCCCCCACGCCTTTCTGCTGGCCTGCGCGTTGGATGGGCACCTCATGAAATCCAACTGAGGCGCATTGTTTTGACGGTCACGGTGGGGGGGAGGAGGGGGGGGAGAGCGCCCTGTCTCTTCAATTATGCCCATTCACATCAGGGATCGGCCTGTTTCCGGGGAAGGCACCGAGCACCTGGGTCTGTATGCCTTCTGTCCTTACCAAAGGCTTCTGGAACCCTCGGCGCCAGCACTTCACCCAGTCTGGGTCTGGCACGCACTTCACCACGTCTCCCCTTTTAAATACCCCATTCGGCGGACACAATGACCCGCCTCACCATTCTTGGGAAATTAGAGAAAACCTTGCCCAAAAGGTTTGGGAACCGGCAAGAGGACAAAATAGGGAGCCCTGCCAACGGACGAATCCTGCACCAGGGGCGTGAAACCGTATTGAGCAAATGGGGACCTGCATGTGGAGCCCCGAACCTTTCATCCAGCCGAGACTTGCAATCATGCCTTCCAAGCAGTTTGTCCCATGGCAGAAACCCTTCCAAACATCTGGAGCCTGCAACCAAAAGGGTAGTTCATAAATTGAGCTTCCCCTTCCATGGAAGAAAAAAGAAAAGCAAAAGCACCCAAACAAGCAGGAAACGACTGCCCCGCCGGGGAAAACCCCCCGAACCGAACCGCCCCCCCCCCCCCTTCCACCAACCAAAACCCCCCGGCCTTCGGAGATGAGCTTGGCGCTGCCGGCGGTGTCGTAGGCCGCCTCGCTGGGCAGCGCGTGGCGCTTCAGGTAGGAGTTGCACTGCGCCAAGGCCTCGGAGCGACGCCGACGAGCGAAGGGCGAGCCAAGGCGAGCGAAGGCGAGAGGCTGGAGGGGGGAAGCTGCGACCAAGCCGAACCAACCAACCAAAGAACTCAAAAAATGAAACACCCAAAAAAGCGAGAAAGAAGGTAAAGCAAAATGAAAGAAGCGAACGGCCAACCAACTGCTCCCTGGGAGGAGGGATGCTCCCTACAAATTAACATTGAACCACGCACAACAATACATACCTAGAGGAATCCCCTTTAAGAAACAAGCTCCCGTTTAGGTCAGGAACTCCAACGTTTGCGAACTTTGTGATGAATCCTTCTGCAAAAGGGACGTGTGTGTGTGTGTGTAAAAAAAAGGAACCCAAAAAAATATGGTGAGGTTGGCCCCTTTAGCTTCCCGTTGAACAATCTCCACACATACACGCACACGAAGACAGATTCCCCGCCTGAGGATGGCTGATGACCTTCTTCAAATCCTCCTGGCAGGCGCGTTGTTTGCCCTGACCCTCCGAACCAACGCAGGCGCGCCTTCTTGCTACCCGGCAAGGCCAGGAGGCTGTGGTGTATTCGCAGGTTATGCTCGGCCTCCAAGATAAGCGCGAAAAAATTGGGCTCCCTTCTTCCGGTGACACCGGGCGAGGGAAGAAACAATTCGGACAGTATCGGAGGCAAGTGGCGATGATGAAGAGGTTGTGCTGCAGTTGCAGATCGCAGTTCGCGTGGATGGTGCCACCCAGCGTGTTCTCAATGGGCACCATCAGCAAGTCCACTTTGTTTTCGCTGATCGCCTGAAGCCCGGCCCACCTTTTCCCCACGCAAGCGATGCAAGCGACGGCTTCGAGTCTCTGAGCCAAGGGGCAGAAAAGGCATCATCAAAGGATGGGTAGCCGAAGGCTTGGATACCTGGCCAAGCTGATCCACGGCGCGTCCTTTTGCTTTCCCGCCGCAGGGGGAACTGGCTGTTTAAACCAATTTCGCCCCACGCTCACGTCCACGGATTCTCGCCTTCCCTTCCCAGAAGCGCATAGACCGCCTGCTCGCCTGGCAGTCCCAAGCCGGGCATTTCTAGGGGGGTGACTGTGATAGCACAATCGGAGGATCAGGGGCACCGAAGCTTCCTCCAAAGGTCCTTCACTAGGCTCTTGACCTCCCTGCATGTCCCCTCACTTCAAAAGAGCCCCTTCCGTGCTCACCCCCAGGCCAGCGCGATGCAACTCCAACAAAGTTGGACTCTCGCAGGCTAGCCTCCATGAAGGGACATAAAAGTAGCCTTCGAAACTGATAATGAACATGCGTTTCACCTCCGAGACTTGATTTGTTTTATTCTTATTGTGTTATTGTTCTTAAAGAAAAGGCCCCTCCCCCTCGCATGTTCGCATGTGCCAAGGAGCTGTAGGCGCCCTTCTCGCCCTGGAAGGCCACCGTATACTTGGCCATGGCTCAAACCAAACTGAACCGAGAGGCCCGCAAGGCGAACGGCCGGCGAACGGCCGAGCTTCGGTTTGCGTAAGGGAAAACCGGCGGAGCTTCGGCGCGGTTTCGAAAGGATCCCAAGATGGCAGTTTTCACGGTCACTCCTTGCTTATGCGCTGCCACTCACGCTCAGAAGCGCCCCGGCGAAGCGCCAGGCAGCCGACCTGAGCTTATTCCGCCTCAACGCATCAGCCAAGCACCAGCGACTGCAGCCTCCCCAAGAACCAGCGACTGGCTGGCTGGTTCCTTCTGGGCCCGTACGCAAGCCCAGAGCCGAGCGCGCGGCCAGCAGCACCACCGGAAGAACCACCAAGGCCAGCATCAATGAGAGCTCCCAAGCCAGCAGCCAGCGCCTCAGGGTGGATTGCCAACCGCTTGGCCCAAGCTACGGCAATATTTTACAGGGGCTGTACCACATCACTCAGGTGATATGGTCAAGCCACCTGGTGTGGTTCAGGCAGCCTCGTTGCTCAGCGCAAGGTCATCCCAGCAACTCCGAATCAAGAAACATGAGCAAATCAACGGTAGCCAGCAGGTCGATGACACGTGCACTCAGTGCACTCGGTCCTTTGAAACAGACATGGTACACAAAAGGCACACAAAATGCAGGCCACCCTCCCGAGCTACATCGAAGCTTGCCATCAACTCCGTGTGACCATACAGTAGGTATTTTAACCGCAGAGCACGCTTGGTGTGTCAAACCTGGCTAAGCCCATGTTGAGATGGTTAGGGGAAAAAACGGTAGCAAAACAATAGTCAAACTGGTCCGAATCGACAGTTGGTGAACCTCGCCTTGTCAGAGTAAAACCAAATGAGTCCAACATATGGATGTTCAAGCCTCCAGGTTATAAGTGGGAGAGACTCACATTTGACAAACATGACTCCAGTTAAGGGGTCTGACATAAGGGTGACTCGTCTTTTGAGCTAGCAGAGAGGGATGGGTTGACATCATGCGACAACCGTGGCTATGACCTAATCACTAGGCCGGTGGAACATCCAAGAAAAGGTTGAGGAAAGCCACGTGGCACTGCAACAGCTTCGCTGGGGCCGCCGGCGCGCTTCGCCAGATCTGGGTGCGGAGGTGTTGGCCGTCGAAGCCCGGTGTCTCCGGAGCGCGCCAGACCATATCGGCCTGGCCGCAAGGGCGCACGCTGGGCGCACGCTGGGCACACACTCCTTGGGTTTTGCTTGGAAGTCCCCTCCCGCAGCCCAGCAAATCCGGCCGCTCCTATCCGTGCCTCCCAGCACACCCCGGGCCACTTCTGGCTGTAGCTGCCAGGCACGTCTTCGCACCGGGCTTGGAAGGCCATGGCCTCCTCGCGAAAAAAATCCGCCGAGCGGCCGAGACTGACAAACCCTGCTTCATTGATGGAGGTGAGTATTTGGAGGTGATCGATCCTTCACTTTGGGGGGGACGGCAGAGCAACCGCCCATCAAGACCAACGTCCTTGCTGTACTCGCATTCCACGCCTTGAACCAAGCCCTGGCTGGGCATGAGCCTGCATCGCGGGTAGAATCCATGCCGAGTCGTCTCGGCTTCCCCTGTCTGGACCAACAAGCTGCAGCTTCCTTGGAACCCTCCTTCCAACCCAGAACATCTTGCGGATTTTGTCAGACATCTTGCAATCTTGGAAGGCCCCAGGGATTTCGAGCACCGCGCCCGAGTTCGCGGGCCTGCCGTTGAACTGACCTCCCACCAGGCAGCCGGTGTAGTCGTCCCGGTAGGCCGCCTCGCAGCAGTCCTTGTGGGTGTAGGTCAGCAGGGCGAAGGAGTTGCGGCTCTGGCACCCGGGGCCCAACACCATGCCCGTGCACCCAGAGATGGCGTAGACCTCACATCTCGCTTCAATCTGAACCAACCAGAAAAAAGGAGACTGGATTCCCAACTTCCTCCTCCCAGCCATTCAAATGTTTGATAAATGGGCGTGCTCCCAATGAAGAATGCAGTTGTCTACAGTTGTCTCGGCCCTTTTTTCCCACAGGGCGTCCTCTTTTGCATGGCATGCAAAGGGGAAACCGCCAGGAGTCTTGTCAATAAATCTCCAAGCAACTGGTGCTAGGCAGGGTTTGTCCACCACCATGCTTGAAGCTGGGTTTTAGCCGCTGACGGTTAAAACGGAACCCGCCTCTTTAAGGTACGATGGATTGTTTGGTTTTGGTGGCCACTTTCACAGAAACCAGAGGCAGGGTTCACTGGATTTCCTCACCTAAGTTGATCAATTTATCTGGTTGTGCTCACTGAAACGATCGCCACTTGTGGAGGCTCCAGAGAGAAGAATGGCTTGGAAACCCACCACCCACCCGCCCAAACGTGGTAAATGGATGTTCATCCACCCCAAAATGGAGCCATAGGTTATCCTTGACCACCTCTTTTGAGACTGGGGATGGCTCGCTCGGCCGAATCTCCAGCAAGGTGGGCAACCAGCTCCGCATCAGCTCCGCCGGCGCCAGCCGTGCCACCAGCCAGCAGAAGAGGCCCCACCCGCCCTGGCACCGCAGTCCTGCCAGGGGCCCAAAGCATCAAACGTGGATCAAATACTTGTCGCGCATGTCGAAGCGCAAACTAAAAACTGGCAAGCAAAATTTCAGAGCAAATCACAGAAGTCGCCGCACCTTCGACCAAACAAGCGGCTCGTTTCCCCGAGATCTCCAGGAACTTCGGCACTTCGCTCAAGAAAACCCCTTCCGCGCCTGACACGCGGGTCTGCGGATCCACCTCTAGGGTGGCGGCAGTGAGGGTCCCGTCGCGCAAGGCGCCGTCCCCGAAGCCGGCGATGGTGAAGTTGCCTAGTTCGCCGGGACACACGGGGGCCGTCGCGGAAGATATCCCCGAAGCCCGCGCACGAAGAAACCCCCCTTCGAATTCGACGCAGAACGAATTCTTACTTGGGGATAGGAACCACTTGCTGATTAAGTGAGCTGGTGGGATTTTTACAAACATCTCTAGAGAAGTCTTCACTTCCCATGATTTTGGCTGATCACCCCAAACCCTAGGTTTTGGTGAGCCCATATTCAGATTTCGCAGGAGCATCTCTCTGTATGTCTGCACGTGCTCCAAGAGTAAACCGGATCAACTCACCCGGTCCAGCGTTTCGGGAACCCCCACATGTGGTCTCTGCCTCTCTCTTTCTGGCCGGACACCTTGCCTCCAGGGCAGCTGATCTCAACTCGAAGGTCCTTGACGTACACAAGCCTCGAAGTGAACGCGAGCGCTGCGACGTTTGGCGAACCTCCCTAAGAAGGCTAAAGCCGTCACTTCAGGGAACCTTCCTTGGCACAGATGGGATGGACTCAGTCGTGCTTCCCAACGCGCCACGACCAAGCAGACACCATGTGCGGCGCCGATTGCCGCCCAAGCGGCCCATCGGAAATGTGCACCTGCCAAACTCACAGAAGTGACCAGTGGTGATGTGCTTTCCCTTTTTGGTACGCGCGTGGGGGGGTGAACGGAGATCTGTTCCCACACCCTCTCCCAGCACAAGGTGCGTGATCCTCGTGCAATTCACAGAACTTCACGTGGCAACGGTTGACCATCCCAAGCCTGAGAAATTTCCTCTCGCACCCTTGCGTCCATCCTGCAAGCCGGGAGTTCCCTTTCCAACAAACTGCCAAGGGGCGCCCAGTCTCAGCCCCCGCCCGGTGACCCGGCTCAGGGGGAAAAGGTGAGGCTTGCTCCAGTTTTGTGGCAACACGCATGTGCGGTTCTCCGAAATCTTGGAACCCTGTTGGTGTGCAATGATGAAACCCTATTTGTTTCTAAGCCACCCCAAACCTGCCGCAGCTTTTGCTCCCAACAAAGAACAATACGTTTGGTTCTGGTCCATATGTTGTCAACTTAAAACCCGGAATAGTTTCAACCACAGATCCCAGAATCAGCATAAGGCACCCCCCACCCTCCCCCCCACCCGGATGATGGACACTTAGATTCTATTTTGCAACCTCCTTCATTTCAGGCCGCAAAATAGACTCTAGGCGTCCACCCCCCCCCGCCTCCACCTGTCGCCCGGCCGCATTTAGGCGCACCCAGCCAGAGGAGACCGTGACCGCGCCACTGGCCACCAAGTACCGAGAGGGCGGCCAACAACCCACGCGCCAGACCATGGACAAACCTGGCCATGACGCCATAGGCGAAAGACTTGGGGAGTGTGTGTTTTTATTGGACCCCCCTCTCAAAGGGTGGCGTTCCTTTAAACAACCAAAAATGGGGTGCCCCCAAAAAAGGACAGGCCCAGCTGTCCAATTGGTTTCGTTGACCCAACTGTCCAATTGGTTTCGTTGTGGCTTCTCAGAAACAACCTTCATATTGGTTCCTAGCAAAGCGACCTTGCTTTTGGCTTCATGCTAGCTGGGAGAAACTGCACATCCATCAAAAGGATGAAAGCACATCTCAAGACCTTTTCGCTTCCTGAGGCATAAGAAGTAGGTGGCCTGCTGGCTTGATAGCTAGGGCCAATCTGGACTGCTCAAGGGTCCCCTTAGCTTGACTAGGCCACATTTCCCGTTGGAGGAGGCAAAGTAGCCACGTTACCCGAACAAGTATTCAACCATCCTCTTGTCGACCAATCTTTCCACTGGCAAATGGAGGGGAAACAGGGCTGTATGCGAAACCAGGGCACCTTCGACTTGTCTGGCGCTCTATCGTTGTGCTTTTCGAAATCGACCTAAAACAATGGGCCCTTCGTTTTCACGCACGCCCACGAGGCTTTAAAACTCCCCAAGGCCAGCCGCAGCAGGATCCCTTGTGCGGTTCTGTGTTGCCCCCCGCCCCCGAAAACACCAGTTGCACGCTGAGTCAAGTGGCGGCTCAGGCTGGCGTTCAAGGTATCGATCAGGTCATCGCCTCCCGTGCTGACAGCAGAAAAACCGACTATATGTAAGCCATGCGAATTTGATTTGCACCCTGCACTTGCATGCCTGTGCATGTTTAAAAAAAAAATTAACACATACATGTGCATATATACATTATAATTATTTTCTATTGTGTTATTTGTTTGTTTGTCGAATTATTGTGTGTTGTTGTTCTCTATGTATCTATTGTCTTGATTTATCGAGTTGCCGATTTACTGAGTTTGAGGCAAGCCCATCACAGGGGAATCGGCAGACCGCGCAGCAAAACGTGTGACACGCGATTGGCTACGACAAAATCGTGCATCATCTGTCTTGCTCTGCATGGGCCTTCAACGTGTTTTTCATGGCATGCTCGTACCCATGACTCTATATCCATGCCTAGATGTGTAGTTATGCCCAGTTGTCACACTTATGAGTTTTTTGTCCATGGCATACGGTTTCTGCCCTGAAGGGAGGGGGATCATTTTCGAACACCGATTTTGGATCATTTTCGATCATCCCTGTGCTACACGTGCATCGTGGTGCGTGTTCGTGCGCCTCATCGTGGTGTGCATGGACACTTGGAAAAATGCTGTAAATCACATACACTTGAGCAAAACCGCGTTCAAAAACGAGCCAAAACACGCGTTCAAAAACGAGCCAAAACACGCGTTCAAAAACGAGCCAAAACACGCGTTCAAAAACGACCACCTTCCCGCCCTGAACAGTGCAAGCAACCACACCACAAAGCCACGAGCAAAGACCGATTTCTTCGGCTCCGAGGCGCTGATGGTGAGGCGCAATCCGTGGAGCCCGCTGGCGTCCATGGAGCCGCCTGGAAAAACCCCATCTGCGCGCGAACGGCGCAGCTTCCACCAGAAGAAATGTGCGAAGCGCGGGGAGTTGTGGGGAAAAATGTCTGGGGGGGGGGGGTGAGGCCCACTGCCCCAGGCGCCTATCCCCGGAGGGAACTGGAACCCTGTGGTAGTTGAGGTCGTTGTTGGTCCCTGGATCTATTCCGAGAGAGTCCAATATGCCAGTAATGGATGATTGGAGGATGGATTGTCCCTGGATTGTCTGATGGATAATCCTGTAAGCGGCCTGCGATGGCTCTTTTGTCCTCACGCTCGGTTGGTCGTGATTATGCAAAAGGGGGCCTTGAGCCAAATGTTGCGGGAGATCAATGGTCTGAAAAACAGAACACAAAACAGACACAAATTTCTTTTGATCTCCAGCACAAAGTATGAAATACTATTGGCTTCATGGCCTTTGACCGTAGCCTTAATGTGTGCCGTAGCCATGTGAAAAAAAGTGCCGGATTCATCCTTTTTCTGCTGGATGAAATGTCTTGGCCTTCGAAATGGGAAACACTATGTACGCTTCTTTTTGGATACCTAATTGTATCAAAGGGTGATGTACAACGCTATGTACACGCGGAACAATTGTGAAACTATTGATCACTCACTCATGGCATAGTCTTGTAGAAGAGGAGGATCAATCATCTGGACTGCTCGTGGTGCTGAACGTATCTTCATGATCAGTCGGATCGACGATACCATCGGCGGCTGCTGTCGGATTGCCTGCCATGGTCTCCATAATCATTCCAGGTCGAACTGCTATAGTCCTTCCACTGCTTCTGATATCCCCACTGCTTGTTGTAGTCCTTGTGCTCCTGCGTGGTCCAGGATTGTCTCTTCTTGACGTAATCGAGCTGCGTTTACTGGTTGCAGATTTGCTGCGGATGTAAACCATGAGAGGACTGTGGGAGTCGGAGTCCTGCGAGCCGTTCATGAACATTTCATCGTTCACGTGCTTGTAGCGCTCTGCGGATGAGACCTGGTTATCGAAAATGGCCTTGTCTGGATGGTTCCGCATGAATTCCAGTTGTTCATCATCCATACTGTTCATCTCGATCTTCCGGAAGTCCTGCTGGATGTTCGTTTTGCCCCATCCAAATACGATAGTCATCATCACATCTGGGAATGTTCGATCAAAACCTGATCCGCATTTCATGTACAGGTGATGACGGACAATGGATTTCAGGGTGCACGAAGTCTCCACTGTATACTCCATTCTGTCCACGAGTGGCAAATCATTCCACAGTCTCTGATATGCTCTCATGAGGATGTTCACGAGACCGTTGGTTGGATTGTAGACATGCTGGAGTTTGCTGTAGGTGTTCGCCGATTTGTTGGCGTCTCCGGTGATCGCATCGCATCGGTACAAGGTCACGAGCGGCATGATTTCATTCTGAAGATCTTCCTTTGCTGCTCCATGGCTAAGTGAAGGATGGATGTGGAAGACCTGCCCTCGTTATGTGGCGGTCGTCATACTCGTAGTATGACTTGTCGGATGATTTCGGGATCATGCCACGAAACTCATCACTCTGCTCGATGTGGAGAACGACGATCTCCTTGTCTCGGCCATGTCCTTGGACAATGGTGCGTGCTGGCAATCTCAATCCAATGTACTTCTTGGATTCGGTAAACATGGATGTTCCTGTGGTTGCCAAGCAATCCGAGGTCGAAATTTCGTATTCGGGATCAGTGCCATCTCCTTTGGTTCCGATGAAACATCTGAACATTCCGAATGTGGTTCCCCAATTCTGGCTCCTGGTGGAAATGTGTCTTGCCAGAAGTTCCACTCGTGCAGAGGGTCGGCCGCGGACAAAGCATGCGATCGGTCTGGATGACCATTGCTTGATCACAATGCCCTTGTAACCGTATCGGATGAACGTCTTGATGAGCTCCCTGGATTTCTCATCATTCGGACTGAAGAATGCGTCTGCCTCATTCAGGCATAAGATGTGTGCACTGTTCTGCATCATCATCTTGACGATCGGTCGATCCTTCATCGGCATGTTGTACACCTCCCTGTTGTCCAACTTTGGATTCCTTGTGAGGTTTCCATGGTTCAGGGTAAGGATGTTGATCCCTATGGATGAGGTGAACTCATGCATGTTGAGATAGTCCACGGAAGGACGGTCAGTCGGCTGCATCAGCGATCCCAGGATATCGGCATAGGCTCGGATGATTTTCGGGTCATCTTGTGACCTGAGCTTCTTCAGTCCAAGCGGCAGCTTGATCGGATATCCGGATCCTGGTTGAGCTTGCTTGTACTCGTGGGACATTCTCCTCGATGAGGGAAGTAGAATTCTTCTTCACCGAGATTGACATCAGGATCGACATGTGCCAATGAGGCTCTCTCGCACTCTGTCAACTTGGGATGAGCTCCTTTCGGATCTTTGTTGAACTGGTTCATGAAGCGTTTGAGTTCTTCCTTGATCCCCGCGAGCTCTTCCTCTGCGTCCTTTTTGTTCATATCTATTTCGAGATAGATTCCCTTGAGTTCTTGGATGAACTCTTCTAGGTTCACTGAGTTGTGATATTCCACGATGACCTTGGGCTTGACGGATCTTTCCCCGAGGGTTCCATCATTTCTCCTTCGGTGGAGTCCTGATCGGTGGAACGCCGTCTCTTCTTGGCCTCTGAGGAGGTATCTTTTTCCTTGTTGTGCTTGGTGGAATTCACATACGTGAAGAAGGCATCGGCGAATTCGCGGATCTTGGTGTCGTACATCTCGTAATCTTCATGATCGAGATACTTCTTCATGATCCACTTGTTGCTCGCCATGAGGCTGCCATCAGGTTCGAATGCTGCAACAATGTTTCTTGCCTCGATGGTTTTGTCTGTCAACGCTGTTCTCTCTTCGGAAAGGCGGATGCCATAGTCTTGGTCCTTGAGAAATGCAAGGATCAGCAACGCATCTCTTCCTGCTGGCACATGGGTCAATGCGGTTTCTGACTCATCGTCTTCGAGGATGACGTCATCGCTGCATGCCATGTGAACGTGCATTCTCCCCGAAGGGTTTGACTGGGACTTCCCAGATTTGAGCCCGTGCTCCATGATGCTGTAGAGCTGACTTCCATAGGTTGCATGGAACATGAATGTGATGGGCTTCTTCGAGAACGGCTTGATCTTTCTCTCTTCTTCAACGGATGGTGGTGCCGGCCTTCGCATTCTGTACTTGGGCTGAGCTGTGCTTTCATCTCCATGAGGCGCCTTGAATCTTGACGGATGCGGACTTGGCGGAATGGATTCCGTTGGCAAATCATAGTCCGGTTCGTCGTAATGAGGCTCTTTCTGCTCAGAGAACAGGGGTCGTCCAAAGGATTGGATATCGACTTGTCGTGTGTGTCCGCTGTTGCATCTCACATAGAACTCCATCTCAGTCATCTCAGGATCAACATAGAAGTCCTTGCCATCGGGCCTGAGTGCACTTTGTGCGGATCTGGTGTTGAGCTTGTCGATCCATCGATTCCTTGGAACAATTTCTCCCCGTGCCTTGCGCTCATTATATGTCCCGTCCAGGGATGGAAATACGAACGCAATTTCGAAACGTGATTTTCCATAGCTCGGGAACATAGCCATCAAGAGAAGTCCTGGCTTGTTTCCAATCAGGACCCATTTCCACCTGCCGTTTGCATTCCTTATGGATTCCATGCCTTGGATCATGTCGAAGACATCCGGAAAACTATCTGCTCATTCTCTCAATTCGCCAGAGGATGAGATCTGTGATCTGTTTCGCCTTGGATGTTTCCATGCGGAAATATTTGCAAACCTGTTCGACATTCTGGACGGTCTTATCGAGATCAATGTTGCCGTTGTGGCATACCATCGGGATGATGTCGGTTCCGTAAACTTCGGATTGAGCATTGCTGTAGCAGCAGATGCTGTAGACCTTTTTGATGAAGTCCATGTATTGCTTCTCTGCATGAGGTCCTTCACCTTGGAGTGTCGGATGCCAGTAATCGTTGAATCTTGCCTTCAACCAGAATACCTTAACTCCATGCGTTCTCTCGTGTTCAGGAACGAAGTGGAAGTCCGGATTGACATCAAGGATGGTTGAGCATTCCTTGTAGTATTCGTGCACAAAAGTCAGGAATTTTGAGTTTCCGAATGGTCCTGGGTGCACGGATTCCTTCTGGAGGCTGATGTTCGTATCCGATCCATATGTTACAAACCACCGATCGTTGGATGTGAGAACAGGCCGCATCACTGGTCGCCTTGGAAGCGCAGGTCGATCGCCAGGATGATTGTCGGATTCCGTCTCGTCATCCAGGGTGTTCTTTGGTGCTGGCTTGACCTTGGAGACAAGCCTCAATGTCGGTGGCGGTGACTTTGGAACAAGTTTCGGATGTGGCATCGCCTTTGACAAAGGCCTTCCTTCGAGAGGATGCCCTTCTTCATCTGAATCATCATCGTCGGAATCTGGATCATAATCAACCTGCTCCATGTTGACATTCTCGGGTTGTTGAGAGGCGGATGGATTCTCATCAGCGACTTGCTCCATGGGGCAATCGGATGTCTCATCTTCCTCATCACGAGCAGGGGATTCCTTCAATGGTGACGCCCGTCTCTTGATCATCGGCTTTGGCACAGGTGCCGCATCGCCGGATCGTCCAAACATCAGGTTGAGGATGGGCATGTCAACAAGATGACCGAGCATACAAGATTGCAAAGGTCGGATTGGTTGTAAATCGAAAGTGGCTGCGGAGGCAGACACATATTTCTTGAGATTCAAAATGGGTCAAGTGCAAACACGCGCATCACGGAATTGAGGAATTGAAAATTTGCAAAACTGAAAAACTCATGCATCAGAATTCGTGGACATGCGGATCATGCCCAGGTTCCCCAATACGCAAAAATTGATTCTGCTATACCGACTCCTGCAAAGGCAATGATGTCGGGTCCGTGCTTCGTGTTGTGCGCTAGCCACTCAACCAAGAATGCCTTGTTCTGCAACATGGTACGGAAGGGTGGATGTGCATCTACA